ATCTTCATCCCAAGAAGCAAAGATAAAATAATAAGAGGACACAGACCACAGCAATGGGCCTTTGGTAGCAGCCAACAAAAAAACAGAACTAATCAGCAAAGAGAATTCTAAGAATCCCACAAAAGCAAGGTCTCTATTTGGCCCCTGAGAGCCATGGGCTGGGAAGCCAAGAGAACCAGTATCTAATCCCAGATTGCACTGGTGACTGGCAGTCAATGGGCCTGTTTCTTCGTCTATAATATGTTCATGGCCCAGCTCCTGACCCTGCAGGTGTGAAAATCTGAGCAGAGACTTATAGAACCCCCTTTGGAATGTATGAATACAGAGTTTGTGGCAGCCTCGCAGTACTCTTCTTTTTTTATCTATTTTTTAAAATATATTTTATTGATTTTTTTCGAGAGGAAGAGAGAGGGATAAAGAGTTAGAAACATCGATGAGAGAGAATCATCGATCAGCTGCCTCTTGCACACTCCCCACTGGGGATGTGCCGGCAGTCAAGGTACATGCCCTTGACCAGAATCGAACCCGGGACCCTTCAGCCCGTAGGCCAACGCTCTATCCACTGAGCCAAACCAGTTTTGGCAGTACTCTTCTTTAAAAAAAAAAAAAAATTAAAGGCAACCTATCCCTAACCCTCCCATCCCCCACCCTGCAGCACTCACTGGCTCATGGCAAGCAGCCAGGTTGGTATGGACAGACAGAACCAGAGCCACCAGGAGCATCCATCCTCTAGCCTGACTTTGCAGCCACTAATGGTGTGAACCACACCACCACCTCCAGTGGTACTCTCATTATTCACATAGGAATTTCTATGAAGATCAGTCTCCATCTCTCCAAGACCAAGTCCTCCCTTCCAAAGTTACTTCCCAGGGAAAGGCTGATGTTCTGTTCTCCCCACCTCCCGGGAGATGTCCCAGAGACAGCCTGCAGGTGCCACCTACACGGATTAGTCAGCCATAAAATCAAATTAATGGGTTATGACTAGCTTAAACACACACACACACACACACATACACACACACTGAGAAAATATCATTGTGCCTCACCCTGTAGAGAGAAGAAATAGGCTGCGGAGCTCTTGTGGCAGTTTTATACTTTTACAGTACGTGTCTGTGGGTGGATGTGGTCTCTATGGCTGGTCTTAGTCAAAGCAGACTGAGAAACACATGCCTAAGTGGGATCTGATTCTGGGGATGAACCACACACACACACCCCGCCACTTCCATCCCCTGTGGAGGATGGATGGGCCAGCGGAGGGTACTGAGAACTCCAGCACCACCCAGCTATTCCACAAAATGCAGCTAACTGGGAAACCGTGGGAACAAACTTCTGACTCTCCTTCAAGGTGGTCCTTCCTATAAGGATGCTCAAGGAAAGACCAAGCCATCTGGGTGGCAGCCTTGCCTGAGAAAGGGACCTGGCACCTAGGTGGCTCAGCTAAGGGGCAGAATCTGGGTGCCCAGCAAGCAAGGTCCTTTTGCTCCCTGCTATCTCCTCCAGCTAAGGACTGATGGGGCCAATAGCAACGGGGCTGGGGACTACAGAACCCAGAGCAACCCCCCCCCCCCCTTCTCTCTCCTCTTTTGAACATTATTTTCCAAATTGCACATCCCTCCAACAATCCTCCCCAGGAAGCACCACCGCTTGCAGCCTTCCCAGAAATACCCCCAGCAAGGAAGGGGGCTGGCCCGCGCTGCACCCGCAAAGCAGCGCTATTCCAGCGGCGTGGCCAACGCTCGGGCCTCCCCGGGGGTGTGCGCTGGGGGGGGAGGGGAGTGGGAGTGCGCCTCCCGGGCTCCCCGTTTGAAAACCATCGCCAGCAGAAGCCTGTGGGCTTCTGGGGATTTCCCCTTCCCGGCCTTGCAGCTCCCCGGCCCTAGACCCCGTTACCCAGCCCGTTAGCCCAGAACGCTGGGCGGTGCAGCCCCTTTCGCTCATGCCCCACTCGCGATCGCGATCGGGAGGGCAGAGCTGGAGGCCTGCCCGGGGCTGCAATCGCGGGGCTCCCCGTGCCTGGCAGCGGCCACTCTCCAAGTTCCCCACAAATGCCCGCCCCGAGCCCGGGTGCGGGCCCGGGGGCGCGTCCGCGGGTCTTCTCAATAGAACGTGCCAGCGATCCGGGGGGTGGGGGGTCCCCTCCTTCCCCCCAGGAAGCGGGCGGTGGGCCCGGGAGCCCGGGTGGGGACCAGGCAGGAGGCCGCGCGCCACCGCAATCCTGTCGCAGCGCGCGCCCTCGCCCCCGGGGCCTCCGGAGCCGCCCCCCGCCCGGCCCCGCGCGGCAGGCCCGGGTCTGCACCTGGGATGCGCGCGGGGGGCCCCGGGCAGGGCCCGCTCGGCCTCCATCCCGGGGGGTCGCCGGCCCCCCGCGCGCGCGCGGCCGCTCCCCGCCCGGAGGAGGCGCGGAGCCCGCAAGGCCGGCGGCTCCCCCCGCCCCCCCCCCCCGCCCCGCGCTCCCCGCGCCGCGTACGCACCTAATGGCCCGCGGGTCCCACATGGCCGCGGCCTGAGCGCCCGCGCGGGGCCCGCCGTGGCCGCCTCGGGAGCCGCTGGCAGCGGGCAGGGCGCGGCGGGCGCTGCGGAAGCCCGGACCGCGGCCCGCGGGGGCGGCGCGTGCAGGCGGCGGCGCGGGGCCGGCTCTGGGGGGTGGGGGTGGGGGGGCGCGGCGCCCGGGGCCGTGACGAGCGCGGCGGCGGCGGCGCGGGGACCGGCGGGCGGCTGTGCACCGCGCGCACCGAGGCCAAGTTTCCACGTAGTTGCGAGGCCGAGGCCTGTCACGTGCGCGCCGCCGCCGGGGGGAGGGGTGTCTGTCCCCGGGTTCCGAGCGGCGTCTCGACGGCCCTCAGGCGGCGTGTGCAGGGGCCCCGCGGCCGCCTTAGGAAGGACGGCGCTCCGGGCCGGGCACCCCCGGGGGCTGGGCACACGCACCCCAGCCGACCCACGTCTCCATCAATGCCCTCCGCAACGGGTGGCCGCGGAGAGCGAGGCCATGCTCACCCCGAGGGCCTGGCCCGCCTTTCCTTCCCTCCGCGCCCTCCCCACCCCACAAAGCCCCTTCCTGTGGATCCCAGGGCCCCCCCAGTGCCCTCACTCACTCAGAGCCCGATTCTCCGTCCTTGGGACCCGGGGGGTCCAGGTGGGGAGAGGCCAGCGAGGCCTCGGGCCTCTGGACGCTCACAGCGGCGTCCATGGCGCCTGCCGTCGAGGGAGGGAGGGAGGGCGCCTCTGGCCTCAGGCCGGAAGTGGCCGGAACCACCTGGAAGGGCAGTGGGACCCTCCAGGCAGCCACTTCCGGCGTCAGTGGGGCGCTCCTTCTCTCCTCTCTCTCCTTCTCTCTCTCTCTCTCTCTCTCTCTCTCTCTCTCTCTCTCTCTCTCTCTCTCTCTCTCTCTCTCTCTCTCACACACACACACACACACACACACACACACACACACACACACATAGCCCCTATCGGGTCCTCAGTGTCTTGGGATCCCTTTCCCACTCCCCACTCCGCCCTCTCCGGAGGCAAAAGGGCGTGCACACAACCGGCAAGTGCCCTGTGGCCCTCCAGGGGGATGCCGCAGAGAGTGACACAGAAGCACAAGTTTCCATAGAATGGAGGACAGTGAACGCCATTCTGAGTCAAGAACCAACTAGCCTCTCCGTCTAGTTAGTGGTCTCTTTGCTTCCTAGGGTCTCCCTTCCTCCCATTTCTTCCGAGAGCGTCCATCTTCCCCCCAATATCGCTGTGCATCACTTCCGGTTCAGAAGCCTTCATAAGCACCCACTGCCTCCTCCCCGGGGCCGGATGTGAGGCTCCTCTCGTCTTGTGACAATGTTACCCCATCTCAAACACGATTCCAGTGGTTCCCAAACTTGGCTGCACGTTGGAATTGGCGGAGTGTCTTTTACTTCCGGATAGTCTGATTTAATTGGTACGGGGTATGAGTGGGCATGGGATGTAACACGGGGATCTTTAAGTTCCCCAGGGGATTAGAATATGAAGTGAAATGGGGGAAACACTCCAAGGAAGAGAAAGAGAGAGAGAGAGATAAAAATATTAACCTGTTCCTCCACTTATCCATGCACTCATTCCTTGATTCCTGTATGTGCCCTAACTAGGGATTGGACCCACAACCCTGGCTTGTGGGGATGAGGCTCCAACTAATAGCTACCCAAGCCAGGGCAACACTGCTACTAATTGTTTTGTTCCCCCCGCCAGTTTTATGAATCATCAGGTAAAAATTGTTTAGCTTGTGCTGATCTGAAAACCTTCAACCTCCACATATAGTTTGGCTGAGTATAAAATTCTAGGTTGGAAATAATTTTCCTTCAGGATTTTGATGCTATTACTCCAGTGACCACTAGCTTCCAGTACTGCTATTGAAAATTCTGAAAATATCCAATTACCCATTTTATGTGACTTCTCCGGGTTTTGTTGTTGTTTGTTTGTTGTGGAGTTTTTCCCTGGAAGCCTGAAATATCTTCTTTTTCCTCCCCAAATGTTTCAAAATTACACAATTATGTGCTTTGATGTGGACCCACTCATCCATTCCACTGGAATGGATGGGTTCTTTCGGTCTTAAAACTCAAGCTCTCTAGTTATGGGAAATGGTCTTGAAATTTTTTGTTGGTTATTTCTTCTCCATTTTCCCTCTTTTGTCTTTTTTTTTGGAAATCCTATTAGTCCAATATTGAACTTCCAGGATTGGTCCCTTTAATACACTCCCCTGGTTTTCAGATCACTTCTCTCCTACAGTTAAGATTTCCTCAACTTTATCCTTCTGATTCTTCGTTAAAAAAAAAGTTTTTTATATCAAATTCTTTGATTTTCCCCAGTGCTCTTTTCTTATTCTGTGAGCATCCCTTTGTTAGAGCACTCCATTCTCTTTTTCATGGTCACTATGCAGCTGTACTAAGAAATGAAGAGGATCTCTATATAACCCTATGCGGTGTAAGGTCAGGAAATATTAAATAGGAAAAAGCTAGGTGAGAATGGTGTTTATTGTATGCTGCCTTTAGAGCAGTGGTTCTCAACCTTCCTAATGTCGCAACCCTTTAATATGGTTTCTCATGTGGTGGTGACCTGCAACCATGAAATTATTTTCGTTGCTACTTTATAACTATAATTTTGCTACTGTTATGAATTGTAATGTGAATAACTGATATGCAGAATTTGTTAGGCGACCCCTGTGAAAGGGTCATTCGACCCCCAAAGGGGTTGCGACCCACAGGTTGAGAACCGCTGCTTTAGAGTAAGAAGGAGAGGTGACTATTTTTATACATTTGCTTATATTTTCTGACAGAAACAATGTATGGAAAGCCAAAAACTAAGACAAATGATTACTTATAAGGAAGAACAGAGTAGAGGGGAAAACAGGGTAGCTAAGCTTCTTTAAATATTAGTTTGAGCCCGGCCAATGTAGATAAGTGGTTAAGCATCAACCCATGCACCCAAAGGTCACCAGTTCGATTCCTGATCAGGGCACATTCCTGGGTTGTGGCTTGGTCTCCAGCAAGGGGCATGCAGGAAGCATCCGATTGATGTGGATGTTTCTCTCGCATTCATGTTTCTAGCTCTATCTCCCTCTCCCTTCTCTCTTTAACACAAATAAAAACATCTTTTTTAAGAAGAATATTTATTTGAAAGAATATTAATTTGAAAGAGCAGAAAAATCACTTGGCAAGTATCCAGAAGTCTCTCTCCTCTGAATCTGTGGCTTGTCCCTTACTATGATGTTTTGAGGACCAGAGCCTTGCTTCTCACATGTGGTTGGTTGGTTGAAAGAATACCAGGCTCTTCTCCCTTGAAAGTGGATAGCATGTCAGCCTGCAGACTGAAGGGTCCCAGGTTCGATTCCAGTCAGGGGCTCATGACCGGGTTGCAGGCTCAATCCCCACTGGAAGGCATGCAGGAGATGGCCAATCAGTGATTCTCTCTCATCATTGGTGTTTCTATCTCTCTCTCCCTCTCCCTTCCTCTCTGAAACGTTAAGCATTTTATTGTACAATCAGTTGGTCAAAGGATTGAAACTAGAAAACACTGATGAGCTCAGAATGGGTTTGGCTGGGTGCTTCTTGGACCCTGAGCTCGGTCTATCCTGGGTTTTGGTGTTAAAGAATGATGTCATTGAGAGCATTATCTATTCATAACGTATTACGTATGCCTAGAGGCAGACATGTTTAGACAATAGGAAAAACCATGCTAAAGCAAATTCTGTTTTCCATTTCCACTTCAGTAGATCTGATTCTTACCCTGTGTAGCACTGAGAATACTAATTGTGTCATATATGATACTGACCTAGCCTGATAACATAAGAGGAAGGGCAGAATGAACTATGTACAGTCCAAACTTGAGACATACAGATATATACGCCCTCAAACAGATATACCCGAAGGTACACCCACACCAAGAGTTGTGCATTTCATACACGTATACACAAAAAGTAAACCAATGAACATGCTCATTCAAATTCATGCAGCTACGAAAACATTCACATGATACTCTTCCTTGGTTTCTTTTTTATTAAAATTTTTTTTCTTTTTTTAATATATTTTATAGATTTTTTTTACAGAGAAGACGAGAGAGGGATAGAGAGTTAGAAACATCAATCAGCTGCCTCCTGCACACCCTTTACTGGGAATGTGCCTGCAACCAGAATCAATGTGCCCTTGACCAGAATCAAACCTGGGACCCTTCAGTCCGTAGGCTGATGCTCTATCCACTGAGCCAAACCGGTCTTGGCTTCTTCCTTGGTTTCTTCACTGTCATTGAGCATAGCTGTTCACTTCTGAACCCACCAACTCCCCAATCCAACCCCTCCCCATAGCAAGAGCTGCCCCTTTCAGCCTCGGAGTCAGCCCTGACAGAGGCAGATATATTATCATCAGTAGCCTTTATGACCACATTCCTGACTACTGACTGCATCCACCTGGAAGGGCTAATCCTGGAGCCTCCCATACCCTTAGAACAGTGGTTCTCAACCAGGGCTCTGAAGACATTTTGATGATCCTAACTCATTGGGAGAGGGGAGAAGGGAGGGGATGCTGCTTGCATCTACTAGGTGGAGGTCAGGGATGCTGCTAAACATCCAAGATCAGTCTCCCAGAGCAGAGAATTATCCAGCCTAAAATGACAATAGCGGCCCGAACTGGTTTGGCTCAGTGGATAGAGCCTCGGTCTGCGGACTGAAAGGTCCCAGGTTCGATTCCAGTCAAGGGCATGTACCTTGGTTACGGGCACATCCCTGGTGGGGGGTATGCAGGAGGCAGCTGATCGATGTTTCTCTCTCTTCCATGTTTCTAGCTTTCTACCCTCTTCCTTCCTCTCTGTAAAAAATCAATAAAATATATATTTTTAAAAAATGACAATATACTTACCTGGCAGGGGAGATACCATGATCACGAAGGTGGTTTTCCCAGGGCGAGGCTTATCCATTGCACTCCAGATGTGCTGACCCCTGCGATTTCCCCAAACGTGGGAAACTCGACTGCATAATTTGTGGTAGTGGGGGGGGGGGGATGACAATAGTGGCAAAGTTCAGAAACATTGCCTTGGAAGAAGAGGTGGGCAATTATCCTGCCCTTGGCAACTTGCTAGTAAATCACTGGGGGCTGCTTCTTCCTTGTTAACTAGCCATGGTTTATACCACAAGACCTCAATCTTGGACACAGCTACTTGGATCAGGGTATGCAGGCATCTATCCTAAGGGCAGTCAATGAAGACTAACCAGTTCCCACTCAGGCAAACTGGTGAGAACAGGGGCCATGGGGATTTTCTGGACCAGACCATTTCTCAGCAGTTTGCACTGGAGGTTAACTGGAGAGCCAGGGCAACTGATAGAAGCAAGAGTGAGAAATGTTAAGAGAGAGCAGCCATACAGGCCATACGGGCTAGCATCAGCCAAAGCTGGCAGGTAGAGAAAGAGATACACAGAGTGAAAGCAGTTGGTTGGGAAAGTGGGAGAGATGGACACAGATGCAGATAGACTGGGACATCTTGATATTAAATGATGAGTAAATGCTTGTCAGCAAGAGTCAGTGGGAACCAGGTTATCTTAAAGAAACATCCATCTTGTTTCCCAACTGCAGGAGGCCCAGCTGAAAGGTGGTTTCTGCAAACCTGAGAGGCTTGCCTCTTGTTACTGCCTATGACGGTGGTCGGCAAACTCATTAGTCCACGGAGACAAATACCAACAGTACAATGATTGACATTTCTTTGGAGAGCCACATTTTTTAAACGTAAACTTCTTCAAACACCACTTCTTCAAAATAGACTCGCCCAAACTGTGGTATTTTGTGGAAGAGCCACACTCAAGGGGCCAAAGAGTTGCATGTGGTTCACGAGCCACAGTTCGCTGACCACTGGCCTATGACTTCATGATAGAACCTGTTGTGGGCTAATTGTGTACCCGCCCCTCCCCCCCGAAAAAATATGAAGTTCCCAGCCCCTGTACCTCAGAATGTGACATTGTTTGGGATGAGGTCACACTGGAATAAGGAGGGCATCTAATCCAATATGACTGGTGTCCTTATAATAAGATGGCCAAATGAAGACACAGCAACATGAGGAGAAACATTGTGAAGATGCAGACAGGGATGAGAATGATATGTTTAAGGAATGCCAAGGGTTAACAGCTGTCATCAGAAGCTAGGAGAGAAGCATGGAACAGATTCTCCCTCGGAACCCTCAGAAGAACCCTGTGGACTCATGGATTGTGTTGGACATTTAGCCCCCAGAACTCTGAGAGAATATGGTCCTGCTGTTTTAAGCCATCCAGTTTGTAGTACTTCGTTACAGCAGACCTAGCAAAGGAATATAGCCTCATGACCTAAGGTCACCTAAGTGCATCTATGTTCTTAACTCTTTGGCCCTGGCCGAGAGCATGGGAAGATTCTAGAACTCTGACTCTCCTCTGACCATGCCCCTCTCTAGGGGGTGAGGAGTCCACTGGCCCAAAGAGATGTGCCCTCCACAACCCACACCTTTCTTCTAAACCAGTGGTCAGCAAACTGCGGCTCGCAAGCCACATGTGGCTCTTTGGCCCCTTGAGTGTGGCTCTTCCACCAAAGACCACGTGCGGGCACACACGTACAATGCAATTGAAACTTCATGGCCCATGTGCAGAAGTCCGTTTTCAGCCTGGGAGAGTCTATTTTGAAGAAGTTGTGTTAGAACACTCAAGGGGCCAAAGAGCCACATGTTGCTCTCGAGCCGCAGTTTGCCGACCACTGTTCTAGACCATGATCTGGGCCATAATTCCCTGCCCAAATGGCCCTGAGCCTGCTTTCAGAGTCTGGCCAGGCCTGGTTCTTGAATTTGTCTTCCTAAGAGTAGACCAAGCTTCTAGGGCAGCTGTTGCCAGGAGCATGCGGAGCTGTGACAGAACTTAACTTGTGGGCTGGGGTGTGCACGCACATATGCATGTCATGCTGTAGGACAAAGATGGGACTAGGAAGAGAAAGACAGCTGGCTGTGAGCCCCAGACCTCTATTTGTACTACTGCCCAGACCGCGGAGATGATCGAGGTAGATTCATCTCACTCTCACAGACCAGGATTAAAGTCCAAGGAATGGGTCCTGGGCAGTTCCTCATCATTCTTTTTGTTCCTTGTGTAAATCCCAGCCACAGAAGTTGTTTCATTTCTCCTCCTTTACTCTGACCCCGTGGTCAGCAAACTGTGGCTTGTGAGCCACATGCAACTCTTTGGCCTCTTGAGTGTGGCTCTTCAACAAAATACCACACTCTGGGTGAGTCTATGTTGAAGAAGTAGCATTAGAAGAAGTTTAAGTTTAAAAAATTTGGCTCTCAAAAGAAATTTCGATCGTGCTGACACCGGTTTGGCTCAGTGGATAGAGCGTCGGCCTGTGGACTGAAGGGTCCCAGGTTCGATTCCCGTTAAGGGCATGTACCTTGGTTGCGGGCACATTCCCAGTAGAGGGGGTGTGCAAGAGGCAGCTAGCTGGTTGATGTTTCTCTCTCATCAATGTTTCTAACTCTCTATCCCTCTCTCTTCCTCTTTGTAAAAAATCAATAAAAAAATATTTTTGAAAAATTTCAATCATACTGTTGATATTTGGCTCTGTTGACTAATGAGTTCGCCGACCACTGCTGGACCCATCTTTCTACAGAGGGTGGGACCTCTAGGTGGCACTCTATACAACCAATCTCCGTCTATCTTCACCTCACTGCCTCCAGGAACAGGATCTGCACCAGGCTTCTTGAGAATCCTACCCTATTCCTCCAGTAGCTGGGGTGGGATATCAAAACAGAGGTTACAAACTCAGTTGATTTCAGGGACTAGGCAAGTAGCACAACTAAGTGTATCTGGCCAGGTATAAGTACCAGCGAGAGGTAAGGTTTGCAGCAAACCACATGCCCAGGTTGTGCGCTCAATCCCCAGTGTAGGGTGATCAATGATTCTCTCTCATCAATGACGTTCCTATCTCTCTCTTCCTCTCCCTTCTGAAATCAATAAAAATACATTTAAAATAATAATAATAAAGTGGCCCCAAATGACTATTGACACAGGGAAGGGGAGCTTGATGTAAAAAAAATCTTTTTTTTTTTTTTTTGGTCAAAAATATTTTTTTTTAATAGAAACCAGAAATCTTGATTTTATTGCGTGAAGTTCCACTTGACTAATCAACATTTTAATACAGTGCACACCAAATAAAAGCCAGGCACTGACAGCCAGCTAGGTCAGCCAAGTTTATTGCCACTAATAAAAATAAACACTACACTAGATTGGGCTGGCAAGCTGAGGCCAGCTGGGAGGTTCCCCACAAGGGGTTTGCCCTGAGCTCATGGAATTCCAGACAGTTTGAGGAAGTAATGACGGTGTTTTCACGTGTTGCTATTTTTGCAGCCTGATATGGCCTTTCCACCCTCTTCTAGCTGCTAAATACTGCAAGTCCCTCTATGACTCATCTCCATCATCACCTCCCTAGGGTAAACCAGGACTGACCCATCCGCCCAGTCCCAAGCTGCCCCATTTTCACCACTTCCTGCTCACTCTTCCTTGTTGATGTTTCTGTCCCAACCCATTTCACATCGTTTTATCACTGTTTCCTTGTCATCTACCACTAGACAGCGAGCACCTCAGCATCTAGGATTCTTTCTTCATTCTGTTTCCAGCTCCCTAGCATGTAGTTGATACAAAACTTGTGGAATGAATGAATAAACAATGCCTATCAGTGATGACACCAACGTCACAGCTAACTTGGTACTCCTGACAATAGGTGTATGGGCGGTGTTTATATGAGATTAGGAGTGGGGCAAAATCACAGGATGACCTAGGAATTTGCATTGAAACTGGGAAAATGATTCTCCTGAGGGAGGGGGAGGAGTAAAAGAAGAAAAATCCAGAAATGAAACTAAAGCCTTTGAGGACCAAAAGCCTGTGGTGGGCTCCAGCGGTGAGGATGGTAGGGGAAGCAAGACAGGATGGTAATGGAGACTGATAAAGGGGAACTAGGGGGAGAGAGTTGTGTAGGGAAACCTCAAGGGATGATGATAAGAATAGAAGTGCTGCCCTAACAGGTTTGGCTCAGTGATAGAGCATCTGCCTATGGACCGAAAGGTCCCGGGTTCAATTCCAATCAAGGGCATGTACCTCAGTTGAGGGCACATCCCCACTAGGAGGTGTGCAGGAGGTAGATGATGGATGTTTCTCTCTCATCGATGCTTCTAACTCTCTCTTCCTCTCCCTTCCTCTCTGTAAAAAAAAAAAATCAATAAAAATAAAAAATAAAAAGAACAGAAGTGCCGCTCTTGTAAAGGGTTTTGTTTCCTGTGGTGAGCTGATCTTGCTGGTTGTTTTCCCCAACTGTAGTCCTGGAGGGGCTTGCTACTTTCGGTATGCTGCCACCTTGAGGCTGGGGTGTGCAGTTACACCACTAGGTGACGGGCTCAAATTTCACCTCCTAGACCGAAACCCTATTCAAGCCCAGTGCTTTTATCCATTCAATTGAAGAGCATTTAAATGGCATTCACAAAGTTCCTTTACATCAGCTGAGGTCAAGCAAAAGAAAACCGTACGCCATTCCTTTTGCAAACCCCAGGCCCCTCCCTGATCCTTATTCTTTGTCTCCGGTTTTCCTCCTAACTCGTCTGTAACCCCTTTAGGACAGAGGTTTATTCATCTTTGCTTCCCCCACAGGCCCTTGCACACTGCAAATCTTTCTTTGTTTTAAACATCTGCCTACTGTATTTATATGATGATGACATCTTACAGCAAGTTTGTTTAAAGATCCAAAAACAAGTGAAATGAGCTGTTTAAAGATAAAAAACACAGAAAGACAAATGTATGATTCCACTTACAGAGTCACCATATGCTAATTCACAATTAGCAGGATAGTGGTTACCAGAGTCCAAGGGGGAACCGGAGAGGTATTTGTTTAATGGAATGAGGAAAAAGTTCTGGAGGGAGATTGTGGTGACTGTGCGTGCACTTTATGCCACTGCACTGTGTGTGTATATAAATATATATATATATATATTTTAATATGTATCTTGACTGGGTTTTTGGTTCTTCAGGTGTATAAATTTGTCAAAACTCATAAAACTGTATACATGCTTAAGATATGTGCATCACACCTGTCAGAATGGCCAACATCAACAAATCAACAAACGACAAGTGTTGGCGTGGTTGTGGAGAAAAAGGAACCCTCGTGCACAGCTGGTGGGAATGCAGACTGGTGCAACCACTGTGGAGAACAGTGTGGAGTTTCCTCAAAAAACTGAAAATGGAACTCCCATTTGACCCAGTAATCCCACTCCTAGGAATATATCCCAAGAAACTAGAAACACCAATCAGAAAGGATATATGCACCCCTATGTTCATAGCAGCACAATCTACAATAGCTAGAATCTGGAAACAGCCTAGGTGCCCGTCAGCAGATGATTGGATCAAAAAACTGTGGTACATCTACACAATGGAATACTATGCTGCCATAAAAAAGAAGGAATTCTCATCGTTTGCAGCAACCTGGATAGAACTAGACAACATCATGCTGAGTGAAATAAGCCAGTCAATGAAAGAGAAATACCACATGGCCTCACTCATTTATGGATATTAAAGAACATTATAAACTGACAAACCAAAAGTCAGATATAAAGACAGTAAAGCAATAAGCAGACTGTAAAATTACAGCGGGGAGAGTAGGGAGATCTGGGGGAGATAAGAGATCAATCGAAGGACTTGTATACATGCATATAAGTACAACCAATGGACACAAAACTCTGGGGAGGGAGGGTATGTATGGGAGGGGGGGCAATGTTAAAATATGTACACAGATAATAATTTAATTAAAAAAAGAAAAAGAAAAAAAAAAGAAATAAATAAATGCACAGATAAAAAAAAAAGATATGTGCATCAATATACATTGTTTGTATGTCAAGATAATTAGTATTTTTTTAAAAAGCCCTCTCTCTGGCCTTAACTGGTTTGGCTCAGTGGATAGGGCGTCGGTCGGTAGACTGAAGGGTCCCGGGTTCGATTCCAGTCAAGGGCAGGTGCCTTGGTTGCAGGCACATACCCAGTGGGGGGGGGGGGGGGTGCAGGAGGCGGCTGGTTGGTATTTCTCTTTCATCGATGTTTCTGGCTCTCTATCCCTCTTTCTTCCTCTCTGTAAAAAAAAAATCAATAAAATATATTAAAGAAT